ACATTTAACTTTGGTACAACAAAAATATGTGGATTGGTAGGTGTGTGTGTGTGTGTGTGGGGGGGGGGGCAACAAGAAAGGTTTTTTTGCAAAGAAAGAGCTAGGGCAACCCCTCCCCCTACTGTGCACTTGCATTTTATTATAATTGTTTTAAGTCACTCTACGGCTATTGACCCTGATCTTTTTTATGAGCTTGAATATATACCAGTATGAAAAAGGGGATCGTCTAGCATTCTTTGTCTCTAATATTGATATATACTTCCTCTTGTCATTAAGTCCGCAAATGTCAAGACTTGGCACTTAAGGTCAGACAGAGACGTTCCTCAAAATCTGTTTTGTTTATCTTTGTAATGTATGGAAAATATTCAAAATTTTAATTACATTTTGATTTCTAAACCAGTTTCTAAATGTCTTTAAAAAATCCAAACACTTAAACATTTGATATTGGAAAATTATTTTTCCTCCAAAAAGTATTATAAGAAAACCTACCCCTGGTATCTTGCAGAAATGCCTGGTAAGGTACACCAAATTTTTGTGAGTAAACATGTTTAAGTAGCAATACTTCAATGACAAAATCATGGAAAATTTTATCTATTATTCGTCTGTCCTTAACTACAGGGATCTTTTAAAGAAAGGTCTATGCACGTACAGCTAACCCACGCTTTAAAGAAATAAATCACACGTAACTTAGGCTAAAAAAGTATATTTCTCAGACTCCGCAAAAAGTAACAGGAAGAAAAAAATTAATGTATTATGTACTGATAACTTTCCATACACACCGCCTATAAGACTTTTTTTTCTTCAGCCTATCTAAAAACCGTAAGATTTCAATTGATTAAAGAAATGTTTCTGTTGCTAGGCAAGGATAAATGATAAAGGATATGCCCGTCAATAAGTAACAAGAAAACTGATTTTAAAAAGTATTTCAAATTATCTCGAACACACTAAAAGGTCTCCGAAATAAAGGAAAGAAAGAATGACAGACTCACGATATACCACATTTAATGTTAATCAGTCCGGGACTATTTCTGATGTTGATGCCAGCAGACTTTTACAGAAACTTAACGACGACAAGGCTGTACTATATATACCCGTCATTGTGTACATGGTTCTACTGATGCTGGTCGGAATAGCGGGAAATCTGATGGTATGCCTTGTTTACATTAAGAAGAAATTCAAATGTTCTACTGACTTTTTCATTTTAAATCTGGCATTTCTCGATTTGCTGACTTGCTTCTTTGGAATTCCCGTAGAAATTGCAGATTTAAGGTATCCGTACACATTTGACGCTCCTGTCGCCTGCAAACTTTTCCGAACAGTCGAATCCCTTATCAGTATGGGTTCAACACTGACTTTGATTGGAATTGCTGTGGATAGATATAAACGGATATGCAGACTTGGAGAGCGCTTCTCTAATGGAACTGCGAAAAAGATTTGCGCTGGAGCAGTGATAGTCGGTATTTTAACTTGCTGGCCTGCGGCAGTTGTTTTCGGTAAGAAATCGGTGGACGTTGGGGTACCAGGAATTAAGGGGAGCGACTGCTCGACAGATGATACACAGCGACATACCGTGTATCCACTACTTTATTACGCTCTTGTTTTCCTTTATTTCTTAATTTGTGTCGCAGTAGTAACTTTCATTTATGTGAAAATTTCAATTTTTATCAGAAGAGGTAAGAATGATCTGATCAAGAGAAATTTAAACAGATATGAACTCAATGCTGAATTAACTACAACAACGGAAGTCAGCAATGATTCAAATGCGCATGCGCCATCAACATCTGGTGGATTCAAGGAACCAACAATGGTGAACACAATTAAAACTTTTAGAACAACCGTGATATGTATAGCCATTACAGTAGCTTTCATTGTTAGTTATCTACCGTTTCTCGTGGTCAGGGTCACAAGAAACATCAAGAAAGATTTCGAGAAGACCCTTTCATCTTCAACGGAAGTCGTCTACAAGTTTTGTTTGAAATCTTACTTTATAAACGACGCCATTAATCCTGTTATCTACAGTTTCCTCAATGCAGCATTCCGACAGGAAGTAGTCAGAAGATTCATATGTAAAGCATGCTATAAATAATCCAAACACTGACAGCTGGGAACTAGTTAATACCGTATTTCTCTGGAGTGTTTTTCTTGCATGTGAGAAAAATAATTTTTAATTGTCATAAAATCTTAATCATAATAATTATTAAAAGTTACATCACAATCATGCAAACTTTTACCTTGATATGTTAATTTAGAAATAGACCCTTTTTTATGACATATTTTGTCTGGGAGTTATTCCCCTTTGCCGCCATATTTTAGGGCAAAATATCCAGATCCCTTCATTATTCAACCAAGTTCAATTTGTTTTACTGGTTACTGAGGTAACAATAATGCTATTTTTCTTATGAATATACATTTGTCAAGGCTTCTATTAATTCATAATTTTAAAAATTGTACAAATATTTTTCCGCATATATTTCTTGCATGCACGTTTAAAAATTGGTTGCTCGAAGAGGTAAATTCACTACTTTGCCCTACAAGATGGCGGCTAAGGGGAATAACTCCTAGGCAAAATATGTCACAGGAAAAGGGTCTATTAAGAGACCCACATGTATAAAGCAATATGCGCTGCATTTTTTCCTTGTACACCGTATTGGAAGTTTAATTGTGACGTCATTGAAATTTAACAAGCCACAGAAAATTAATTAATGACATGATCATGCGTAAATAACAACTTGATTTTATTTATTTTATCAATTATTTATAAAATCTTGTAAAATTACAATACTTGATAGCAATACAGTCGACTAATGACGCAGTACCGGTGATCCTGAGGACTAGATCCATTGGTTTAATGATTACAATAACATGAATAATGCTCAAATAAATATGATTTAATCGCTAATTTTTAAACCTAATCATTAAAACTAAAAGAAAATAATTTATTAAAAACAATTTGTATAGAACATGAAATTATCTAGTGGTATTGGAGCTGCACATAGACAAGGAATTTAGAGAATAACATACAAATTTATTCGATATTGAGCAATGACAACTAGATATATGTTTCTATTTCTACGCATAGATGAATGATATAAAGTCCAACATTTATAAATGTGTCTCCGCGATAGATAACAGGGAAAGTGATTAGAAATCCATTGTATATTTTAATTATCGTTCACCTGTAAATACGCCCCTACAAAAAATAGTATAAGTTTCTCGATAATACACATACAGAATGTATAACGCTACCGAGAATATGTCGGGTAATGCCAGTGAACTTTTGCAGAAGCTGAACGATGAAAAGGCTATTTTGTATATTCCTGTGATTGTCTATATGGCAATACTGATGCTGATCGGAATAGTAGAAAACATAATGGTAGGCGCTGTTAATGTCAAAAAGAAAATGAAAACTTCACTGATTGTTTTATTTTGAATTTAGCAATTCTCGCCTTGTTGTACAAATATTTCAACCACCACCTTTCCGATGTACTCGCCGAAAAAGTTTTACAAAGAATGAGGCTGTAGACCACGGAAGGAAATCCCTGTTTTTGAATTTGATTGATCCTTTCGATTTTTATATAGGAAAAACTAGCAAGTAATCAATTCATTTTTCATGTACTTCTTGAAATAATAAATCATTTAATTCAACATTGAATCTTTTTATGATTTTAATTCTGAATTTATGAATGACCTGTCCTTTTAATATTCAAATCATTTATTTATATTTTTTAAATAATGAATCATTCATTTAACATTGATACTTTATGATTTTCATTTTCATGAATGACTTGTCCCTAAATTGATTTTTTTTGTTTATAAGTAAAAGCAAGGGTATTTCAGAGCCTTTTTGCCCACTTTAAAGTTAACATTTATTTGTTTGAGTCACTACTTCATATTTTTTACACAAACACTTGACCCACTTAAAACAATTAAAAATTGTTGCTGTATGCATTAGATACTTCAATACACGAGTCACTGTTTACGAGGAAAATACATAATAAAACTCACTAAAACAATTTTAAGTTCATATGGAATAATATAGTATTTAATTCTTTCAATCACTGATTTACTAAATATCAATTATAAAAGAAGAAAGAAGGTAAGAAATGTATGTAATACACGAGAAAAATCATCTCGTGGGGGGTGGAGGCATTTTCCTTACAATTATTACTTTTTTTCGAAATACGGAATTTGCTGTACTCATCTCCATATTAGAAAACTGGGAGAGGGGCATCAAAATTAAAATTAAAATACTTCAACTTAAACAAAAAAGTATGCTCGGGAAAAAGTTGAGATCCTCCCGCCCCATTCTACGGGCCTGCAATCTATTATGATTGAAATGGTGTATCGAAATCAACTATGTTTTGCATGTTATTATTTTATTTAAACTCAGATTTTGCATTTAGGCCTAAGGCGCGAATCCAGCAGTTTTTTTTCAGGAGGGGGGGGGGGGGGGGGGGTTCAATCCAAGTAAAAAAAAATCTAACCCAAAATATCCAATAGATCTGTGTTTTCAAGGAGGGTCTGTGTTTTCTAGGGGGTTGCAAGGTCACTTTTACTTGGTTAAATTAGTATATAATTTAATAACTCTGCAAATACATGAGGGGTCCCGCACCCCCCCCCCCCCTAGATCCGCTCATGCATTTTCTGAGAGATTTAAACTTTATCCACATGAATTTCAATTGACTGAAACTGAAACCAAACGTACGTTAAATGTATATGTGTCAAAAGCCATTGTTCATCTGAAAGTGGTCATTTAAAATTCACTCATACGTAGTATTCACAGCAGGGGAGGATAAAGAACGAAATGATATAATGGGTCATATTAGTATAAATTGTTCAAAAATATGGTTAAAATTGACGGATTAGCGACATGTGAACTTTAATCATGACAAAACATTGATATGTCAATCCGTGCGGAGGTCCCTGACATTTTATTTTATCAAGTTTATATCTATATGTACATGTTCTACTGTTATCCATGACCATTAAGGTACAAACGTGGTATAGAGCTAATACTTAACTCTATTTTATCTCAATTGGTTATATCATAACATTCATGTTTTTACATGTGGAGCTTCAAACCCGAGTATTCAATACACAAAACTGTCCGGGTATTTGAATTGTCGACCTACTTTGATATATAATCCCCTTGGAGGGTGCTTTATAAACATTTCTAACCGATTAGACACTCTTTTGTACCTAAAACTAAAGAAAGAGATTTAAAGCGCAGAGTGGAAGGACACCTTAAAACGAAGCCGCTGAAAAAAAAAACCTTGGTACATGAGAGTGCATTTTGTGTTATCTATAAGGGGAACTTTAAATGTTCAGAAATCAGAGGGGTATTTCCAACATCGACAAAAATTTGACAGAAGGAGAATAAAGAGTCCACTGTGTTAAAAACTCGTAAATCTTCGCCATAAGGAATTAATTATTATGTAACTTCCTTGTTCTGTGTATAAAAAAATGTTCCGTATAATTCTCAAGTTGCGCCCTCTTGAAAGATCTCAAGATAAACCATAGATGAGGCTTTATACGGATTTCGTTGTGTCATTTTAAAGCTATGGAGTGTGTGGTTTGTCGAGCTTCATCAAGGGATTTTGTCGTCCCTGGCCTTCCTTCATTGACTTAATGTCAACATGACCAGTCACGCATGTTGGAATAAAAAGTTCCAGTAGAAAAGGAAAATGGAATTAAACACATCAACGGTTAATTTTTCAATTATTTTGGAAAATTCTTCCCATCCGGATCCATATATACTTTTAAAGGAATTAAATGACAAAGCGGCTTTGCGTTATTTACCTGTGATAATTTTTCTGTTCGTGTTAATGATCTGTGGAATAATTGGCAATATTCTAGTGTGTATTGTATATCTCAGAAAGAAAACGAAACTGTCTCCGGATTACTTTATTCTCACTCTAGCTTTCCTGGATCTCTTGACCTGTATTATTGGAATTCCGGTGGAAATAGCAGATTTACGCTATCCGTACATGTTCTATGCCCCCGCGGCATGTAAACTCTTACGAACCATAGAATCTCTCTCGGCCATGGGGTCAGCCCTGACCCTAGTGGCGATATCCATAGACAGATATAAACGTATCTGCAGACTGGGGCAGCACTTCAATAACTCTACCGTGAAGAAATTATGTGTCGGTGCAATAGTGATGGGGGCGGTCATTGGATGGCCCGCGGCGGTCGTGTTCGGGAGGAAAACTGTATACGTCGGACTTTCCAAAATTGAAGGCGAGGACTGCTCGACCGCGGACGAAATGAGAGACACGATATACCCCCTGCTTTACTATAGTGCAATAATGTTGTGTTTTGTCGTCTCTGTCATATTTGTGATTTTTGTTTATGTCCGAATCTCAATTTTTATTCGAAAAGGAATTTCTTTACGGAAAAACCGAGCGAGTGAAACTGTATCGACCTATTCCATGCATGTTCATTTTATAAATGACGAGAATACGAGTGGGTCGTCGCCTAGTCAAGCTCACCCCATGTTAGATGCCACGCCCAAAAATCGTAAACGACTAGTCAACAGTTTGAGAGTCACAAGAACGACTACCATCTTTGTTGCTGTGACGGTGGCTTTTATTTTGAGTTATCTCCCGTTTCTCGTTATTATGATCATTCGCCATGCGAAGAAGGATTTAGAAGAGTCGCTTTCTGATGATGCAGAAGTCGTGTACAAATTCTTTTCGAAATCTTATTTCGTTAATAATGCAATTAATCCTCTAATTTATAGCTTTCTGAACAAGAGATTCCGAACTGATGTCAAAAAACTATTTAGCTGTAACAGATGACTTACTTTTAAATGCTTTCAGTTAATTATAATTTTCTAATAATAATTTTCTTTGTTCTGATTTCTTTTACGTTAACTTTACTTTTAAAGGGACAAGACAAGATATTAATTAAATTTTAGATATATTAAGGATACACCAAAGGTTTCCAAAGGGCAAAATTTAATTTGCTTGTAATTCTTTCATTAACAAAGATAACATATTAAAAGTATATATCATTTGAAAGCTTGTTAAATATACTATTTAATTATTGTATTTTAAATTCTCATTTTTATCTTATTAAAAAACTATTAATATTTTAATGTAAATATTAGTGCATTTGTATTTTTTAAATCAACTTTTTTGTATTCCACCTCTCAAAGTCAAAATTTTGTCTCAATGTAGATTAAAGATTGAACTTTAAAACCGTATCTCAGATTTTTGATAAATCTTCTTATTCAAAAGTTACATCCATTTGTCATTCAATGTTCCCAATTTATTAGCCTAGTTCTACATTTCCCCCAATAATTCTAGAACTGAGCAAGATATCAAAAATCTGAGATACGGTTTTGTGGACACACACTTGAGACGCATTCTGGCCAGTTTTCTGAGAAACTGGTCAATAAATAAGGGAGCTGAATCCTTTGAAATAATACCACCAACTGTCTGATCTTACTTTACAGTAGAGGGCAAAAACCCATTACACAACAAAGTCTGCCAAAGCTGGAAATATATGACACATAGGAGATTCAGCTTTGGATACCTGTCACTTTTCCATATTTCCTATGCATATTCACAAGAATGGGAGGTTCTATTCTTTATTTAGGTGCTTTTAATGAAGTAAAATAGGTTCAATTCTGAATCAGAAAGATTTCCAGGCAAAATGGCAAGAGCTAAGCTCCACCTCCTATTTCATGGTCATTAGTGACCTGTTAGATCTCCTTCCCTAAATCTAGAGTCCCTGTAGTTTAATTACTGATAACCTCTGTGTGGCTAGTGAAGAAATCCCCAAGTGGTCATAATGATTTATTGCTCCGTTCAGAAGCAGCCAGTTACAGACCAAATCAGAAGCTTCAATAACGGCATATTCACATGTGTTAGTGTTTGATTATTGTTAAATAATTAGAAAACCATTTAATAATCGGCAAGAATTTTTCATGCATTATAAAGCAGTGATCAGCATTGTTTTCTTTGCCAAAAATCTCAAAATTGACAAAAATCTTGAAAAAAGCCTTTGGTGTATCCTTAAGGATTGGATGATAGAACAAATAATGATTTGCTCCCATTATTAAATAAGTACTAGTTTGTTTCCCACATGCATTCTCAATTTCCGTGAAAAAGTAAAAAAATATTTTTATTTTTTGCATAAGCATGTGTCACATGTAACCAGGTGCAACTACTTGTACATGTAGGGTCGGGAACTATAATTGTTTGGGAAATAGAAACGGGATGTTTGATGACAAGCAACCTAAAAACGTTTGAATTAAGGTTGGTTTAAGTGAAGAATGTGACGCACCATATTTCATTTAAAAGCTGAATGAAATTTAGAGATAATGTCTTTTCGCATTTTAATGCAAACCTTAAAAGCCCATTGACATTTATTACATGTATTTACATTATTGGGAAATAATTTTATATTCTTAATGCTACGGATTTCTAAAAAAAAAAAAAAAGAGTTTTTATTTTTTTAGGTCAGTCTATTGATATAGGTGTTTTTCTCTGAATTAACAATAATTTTAAATGATTTTTAAAATTAATATGGGAAATTTTATATAAGTTTTTCTAGTAAAGGCATGTTCTTACATGTACTAAGTCATTATTTTTTTCTTCTTTTGTTGTATACCCAGATCCAAATATCTTTTTAAAGGTGGGAAGTTACGTAGCTTATTTTTTGTTTATATTCTTTACATGCATTGACAATCCTCATGAAAATTGAAGACAAAAAAATTATTCTAGTACTCACTTCTGAAAAAAATATATTGTATAGGGTCGGAATACATCAAACAGATCATTCTTTATTGTTGGCCTTAAATCTAAAGTTGTTTGTAAGTATACTATAAGAAACCCTATTTTTTTTTTAAACGAAAGCTTCACTATACAAGAGTTATTGGTTTCTTCACAAACATAACTCTACTTTTCGGTGAAGTGTAGCCAATTCGGTTTTAATTGCTTTTCTAGTTAAAGAAGATATTTTCTATATATTATTCTAAATTCATACATATTTTTCTAGATTGATTCAAACTTAAGGAGACGAAATACAGTTTTCATACTCAAAGTCAAATCAAAAGGAGTGGTTTGTTATCTGAAGGTTTCTTAACGTACTTTTTATATATGATGGTGAAGTGATCTCTCTCTCTCTCTCTCTCTTAATTATGAAATACGATGATCGTATACATATTTAGAAGTTAAAATTAGGCTCAACTAGGTATTTTTAAGCAAAGTGTGTTATTTGATTTATTTTTTACTCTTGTTTCCTGTCACCTGACTTACCCTTCATTTTACCCTGCGACCTTTACAGTTTTTTTTTTTACATTTTTAATTTTTTTCTCAAAATAATTTTTTCCCCTACCTAATTACCATAAGTTTTGGGTCAGAAGACTATGAACAAGAGTATATTTCCTTGGTCTAATAGTATTTCAATCAACTTTTATTATCTCAATATGTATTTACCATTTTTTTAATTTTTAACTTTCAAATTACATTTTCATTTAGCTTACATTGCATGCATATCAAATTTTCATATCAAAGATTCGGGCCGGGGGTATATCGATTTTTGTCGTTTCCGACCGTCTAGCTGTCTGTCTAATTATCTGTTTGTCCGCAAAACCTTTAACCTTGCCATAACTTTTGATTTAGAGAAGCTATGGCTTTCATATTTTCAATTGTTTATTCCTAGTGGTAAGACCTTTTATTTGGGTACCACCAAGTATGACCCTTTGACCTTTGAGTTTTACCCATATTTACACAAGTGAGACCTACTTTTAAAAGACAAACTTTAACCATAACTTTTAAACAGTTATGTCTAGGGCTTTCATACTTCACATATGTAATTCTTGTGACAAGAACTCTGATCCTTTAACCTTGGAGTTTGACCCTTTAACCTTGGAGTTTGACCTATTTAAAAAAAAATGACCTTGGCCGTAACTTTGGAACGGTTTGGGCTGGGGCTTTCATATTTCACATAAGTAATGCTTGTCACATTTGACCTTTCTTAAGAAACCATAAACTCTGACCCTTTGACCTTGAAATTTGACATTTTCAAAAATAATCTTTGGCCATAACCTTTGAGCAGGTGGTGCTATAGAAATTTCATAATTCACAATTGTATTTCTTGTGAGAAGAACCTACTTCAGGTACCAATATCTTTTATTTGCATTTAAGAAAAGTTTAATCTTCACTATGTTGCCATACTGGGGCATAAGTGTTTTACAAACATATTTTGTTACTAATCTTTCAATTACCGATTAGGTTATGAAGAGCAATACCATAGACCTTCGTTGATGATTAATTAACATTGATTAGAAACTGTCCTTTTCTATCTGTGTTGGGGTAAGATAATCTGATATGGCGGCTCCACTTCCTTGATCTTCCTGCATATATTTCTGTGTTGTGTTTTCCTTTACAAACGTTCCTTCGTCTACTTCCTCATAAACCGAGGAAGTATCAGGACACTCACTTCTAATTTCTTGCATATTTGCCTCGTTTAAAAACCCTTCTTCCTTTGTGTTTCTATGATATTTCAATTCTCTACAAGTTTTTTGCTCTGTGTCGTCCGATTTTATTGTTTGACGAGCAATAGAGAACTTTCTTCCAATCATTACTAGTAGAAGAATCATGGCTACAAATACTGCCGACAAAACAATCCATATGAAAAAATTAGTCTTTGCTTTGGAAGCATTTTCTTTAAAGCGGTCATCAGGTAATGATTTCTTTGTGGCCAAGCCTTCATCTTGAATTGGTTTTCTGGTTGTGTATATTGTGCTCATCAAGGATTGATTCTGAAGGAGTTGACCTTAAGTACGAAGAAAAAATGTTAATGATTGTTTTAACGTAAAACCACTTTAAAATATGATTTTTGAAATAAGAAACATTTGAAGAATTACTGCAAATTCCGGTTGAATTATAATCAACTCACCCAATTCTCAAAGAATTATCACAGAGTAAACAAACAGATATGTCAGTCAAGGCATTCCCATAATATCAAGTCCAAATAAGTAAAATACCAACCATTTTTTCCAGATGCAAATTCAACTTTTGGAGTTGACATAAACTTAGAACCATGCACACATCCAATAGCAATGTCACAAACACTGATGTCACAGGCACACTTCCATTTACAATTCTCACCATAGTGTGGATACAAACATTTGTGTGAGCAATCTAAACCGGTAAAACCTAGTTTACATTCTGAAAAGATGTAGAAATTTAATAATTTAAGTTTATTTTCATAAATCAAATTTATTATTGCTTATAAATAAGTTAATGTTAAAGCATATTACAAGTTTACGAGTGCATAATGCAACAGATAATATATACATGAAGATTGGAAAAAATATTGAAATTGGAAATGTGAATAATATTTTAGAGGGATGATAGAAAATTGAGAAATATTAAAACTAGGTTAAGAGGATAGGAGGTCTATAAGGCTATTTCAGCGGACGTTTACTTTTGAAAACAACATAACCCGATTTTTAAGTAGGTTATTCATTGATCATGTTTAAAAAAGGCCACTAATACAGAACTATATATATTTTACCGTTAAAAATCATAGAATAGATTTTGTTGATACCAAAATGTGTGTGACTTGTATAAGTATACGAATCGATAATTTCAAGCACACTTTTAATCGGGGAAATTATTTTTCATACATCCAAGAAAACATGAATTTCACAATAACACATCAATAAATTGAAATACAGGACACAACTGGAACCCAAAGATATTCCGACTGGTTGTTTGAATACCTTATATCTAAAATTACATCTATATTTTCACTCAGAAGCTTAAGCATTCGTTTTTCACTTTCAGATTTCTTATGTGTTCATT